ACAACCAAAAACCAACTTTGAAGAGCGATCTACTCCAAGTTTTGAAGTAAGAGTGGGCAAACATCCCACAATCTAAAATTGACAAGATGATCAATGAACTCCACAAAGCAAAAGGAAGATCTACTAGATATTAATTTAGTTATAAATATATCAATTCATGTGATTTTTTCTGAAAAGGTGGTGTCTGTTTACTTGTGACCACGCTGTGTAGACATACCTCATCAAATAAGAGGTTCTTATTTTATATTCTAGCCTTTCAATTTGTAAAAACAACAGACTTTATATCTGGACATCACAAACATCTAATATGAACCAAAGCTGTGTTCAACATAACAATTGACACACAAAAATCGATATTTAAGAATTTGTTTTTAATATTTACTTTTAAATTAAGAAATTAACTAATGTATAATACTAAAATTTGAAATATAATCGACAATTTGATACCAAACTTACAAAATATATTCATAAAAATGTAGTTCAATAACATTTTGAAATAAGTCTATAAATGTGATTATATGTCCTTTGACCCTCGACCACATGAAAACACATAGTGATAAGAGTTAAAAGGGAGTTCAACCAGAACATAAACAGTGCACATACATTAATTACTGGTTGTTCAGATAATGGTTGTTCACAAGATTTTCATATTTACGTTTCATATTAGTCCATTAATTCAAATTTCTACGCCATGGATTGTTTTACCAATTAAAAAAGCATGATACAATTTTAAAAATTTACCCAGCATTAAAACAATATAAAGTCTAATGAATATAGATTAATTCACTGGCTTTAGGATCAACAGTTTATGTATTCACAAATGCAGTACTGACAAAACTTACAAGAGAGCAAGCCTTTCTCTTTTAAAGGGGTAACTTAAAAGAAAACCTGAGAAAAAAACTCATCTATCACCCACAAATCTAAATTTGTGGCAACTACTTGGAAAAATCATATCAAAGATTTCATTCAAAGAAGGATTAGCTGTTAAGATGCTGATGCCTTCTAAAATAAGCTGTTTTAACTCTCTCACCATAGAGTTGGTCAAATCGACCAAGTTCGTAACCATTTTGTATTCATTACAGTTGCCATACTATAACTTTTAATACAGTATGTGTACCTTCATAAAATTTGCCAGATTTTCAGTACACATTACAATTCTTTTGTACACCAAAGATCAGATTTTTAAGAGGCTATTTTTATTAAAGAATTGGTTGTGAATATTTTGAATCTTTTTCTCTTTTACTACTTCTAGTGCAAATTGATTTTCATGTTAAGATTAAAAATACTTTTCTTTGTATCAAAAATCTCAGATTTCTTTTGCATAATCTTTAAAACATTCTAAATAAATTTCAAAGATTTTTTCTTCGGTAAAACTTTATATTTTACCTGTTAATTTCTCAACCTTAATTTTATACAAGTTGATCAATTTCACCAACCTTGGAACTACAAAAATCTAAACTACCCTAAACTTCAAACTGTAACATGAAACTACATTTGTTTATCCTAAATAGATGTAAACTCATAGCAGTATACATCTATTGATATTTAAATTTTATTGTTTTAGTTTTGTGCCATATAAGCTGTAAGTCACACAGCAAATGTGCAGCTTCATCACATTATCAAATTAGATAACATACGGACTACTCGTTAGCTGCTTGCAAGCGTACCTTATGAAAAATTATTAGTACTCTTTATTTTACCTTATCTAATCTAAAAAGTTTCCAATTTTCACATTTTAGCTACTTTTATAATAACAAGTAAAGATTACACGTGAAAAATAAATATAGTACTTACCTGGGTCTTTTTTTATGCCTTTGATTGTCGATGACACTTAACCCCACTTTTTCTTATTATACTAATGGTACTAGTGCATTAAATTTTTTATTTAATTAAATAATGCACCAAAGAACACAGAATAATAACAAGTAAAAAGCATACAATGTTCCATAACCATCACAATTTTTCTGGCTTTCTAACTATGCGAGAAGAGCCATTAAAAATTCAGCTAAGCTTGTCCACGTGTTTCCTGTGAGAATAAAGTTTGAATTGAAAGCAAAATTGAGAATTCCCTGTAGAGAAAACAATGTTATATAATATTACATTTGATAGATTAAAACCTTGGCTTTCTGTTGGTTATAAGTAATAAATATTAAATGTTAGAGAGAACTATTGGCAATTTCTGAAAGAAAGGATGTGACAGGTGGGCATGGCAAGAGGGGTTTGATCTTCTAATTTTTGCTCTGTAACTAAATACGACTGAAGGCTATGAAAATTATACTTTGAGTGATGACGACATTATAATAAGTAATTTATGTTATATTTCATACTTCTTAGAGGGGTAGTGAATAAATCAAAGCGGGAATGCCTAGAGAGAAAATGTCACAATTCTCATGATAAGGGAAATTTGGAGTTTTTGTTTAATACTGCATTATAAAAATAAGAATTTAAACCTTATATACTGTTAGAATTTGATTTACTAGCTGTATTTTTAGATCAGATTTATTCATATGCCATAATAATAATAAAGCAGTTTAAAAAGTTTTATAACTCACTAAAACCTTGTGACGTGTAAAAAAAGATGCTCGTGGCAAGAGGGTTAAGTTTGCAGTACCTGTATATGAAGCTTCCACAATGAGATAAAAATTAATAAAGAAATCTATTTTGCAATACTTATAGTATGTGTAAAAGTTTTATTAAAAAATTAACATTACATACTAATAAAACAAATTCTAAATTTAAAAGTTAAAACATTAATTCTTACTTCTAAAATATTCTAGTTTGAAACTGCCTGTGAGCTTAAAGAATTGAGTCAAGCTGCAAGTTCAGGGATTTCAAATATATATTTTTTTCAATTTAATAAAGTGAAATATTTTGTATTTTACATGTACTTTTAAAGTTTTGAAACCTGAGACTTAAAAATTTACTTCAAAATACATTTTTCCAAACCTTCAATATGAAGCCAAACAATTCTAAATAGGCTTTCAACAAACTGATGAAGCAATAATGATCACACCAATGGATTAAAGTAATGCTGATCACTATAAAAAATATACCCTTTCTTATATTTACTACATTATTTATTATATATTACCTATCTGCATTGAGTTGTAAGGCTTAATACTGTTTTAATGACAAGTTATTTGCATATTTAATTTTGTTTTTAATTCCACCACTAAACACAATGTTCATTACCAGCTTATAGCAACTTGCTAACTTTTCTAAAAAACATTTGATAACTTATTCTAGCTATTACCACAAAACTACAATAATTAACTTCATTGCCTTACTATTACAAAAATATTTTATTTTGTAAGCTACATTGTCATAAAGCTTAAAGAATGACTTAATATGAACCTGTTTCTAGGACTATTTAACTTACTTCATGGGACCGAAACCTTGAGTCATCCAATTTTTTTACAGCATATTTCATGTCCTCATATCTCAGAAACTCCACCACACCAGTTCCATCCTTGTAAACATCTGCATAACACACATCTCCAGCTTCTCGCATATGATCCTTCAAATCTTGCCAACTTCCCGTAGGAGGTAATCCTGAAAATGAGAAAGTTTCAAGTACTTAAGATATTTTTCAAAAATGTTAAACAAATAACCCATCAATTCCTTTCACAATATTATTTAAATATAGTCATTTTTAGATCCTAAAAGATAAAAAGAAATTCCACATATGCACAGTGTCAGTTTGAAGCAAAAGATGTCGACCTATTAACTCTCTCAACAAGGGCTCAGTAGATTTGACTGACCACACGAACTCTTTGTACTCGTTTAAAGTCTTTATAGATCTATTACTTTTAGCTTTCATTATAGTACGTATATTTTCACAAAATTTGTCAGTCTTTCAGTTGACTTTATAAGTCTTTTATATACAAAATCATATTTTTTAATGAAATATTTTTAATAAACTAAAATAAAGATTTGTCCATGAATACACTGAGTATTTGTTTTGAATAGTCTGTGTGTATAGTGATTATCATGTTAAGATTGTTTTATTGCCCTTTGAACCATGTCTAACTACTATCCACGTCATCATAAGTTGTAAATCACATTACACTATCAAATTATATTATCCACAAGCTGTTCACGCGCATGCCTCGTAAAACATTTATATTATTTTGTTTATTTTCCTAATCTAATCTTAACTAACTTAAAAAGTTCCCTATTTTTACAATTTAGTTAATTTTATAATAATAAATAAAGAATAAATATGAAAAACAAGAAATAAAGTACTTACCCAATCTTCTTTTTTTCTTGCTGTCGATTGTTGATAAGAGTTAACCCAATTTTTTTTTCTACTAATTTTTATTTAATTAAATAATGCTACAAAGAACATAGACTAATAACATGCAAAAAGTAGACAATTTCTCCTAACTCTCAAAATGTTTCTGGCTTTCTAACTATGAGACAACAGCTGTTACAAATTCATCCAAGCTGGTCGTTGGCTAACTCCTCTTTTCAAGGGAGGTGATAAAAATTGTCCCAATAATTATAGACCCATTAGTCTTGCATCACTTGTGAGAAAAAAATCTGGAAAGTCTGTTAAAAGATGCTTTGCAAAGTCATTTAACAAAGTTTCGAATTTTATTGAATACTCAATATACAAATCTTTTAACATTCTTTAAAAAGGTTACTGCTTATGTAGATCAGGGTAGGGTGTAAACTTGGTGTATCTGGATTTTCAGAAAGCATTTGACAAGGTGCACATAAAAGGCTTTAAAAAAAAAAGCTCTATAAGTGTGGAGGATAAGTTAGCAAATTGGATAGAAGAGTGGCTGGATGGAAGAAGGAAGAGGGTTGTTACAAATGGAGTTTAGTCAAACTGGATTAATGTCACAAGGGGGGCACCTCAGGGCTCAGTCTTCGGACCTTTGCTCATTTTGATTTACATCAGTGACATAGATGAAGGGATAGTCAATAAATTACTTTGCAGATGATATTAAGATCTTAGTTGTTGCTAGCTGTGAAGAGAATGCTGCTGATTTACAAAAGGATTTAGATCATTTAGTGAGTTGAGCAAATAAATGACTGATGGGTTTTAATTATAATAAATGCAAGATAATACATGTGGGTTATCATAATTTGAATTATAAGTCTAATTTGAATGGGAATA